ACCCTGGTTTTGCCTTCCCCTGCCTCTCATAGAGCATGTGCACTTGCTGGAGAGAGACAGAGAGGGAAAGTGAGAAAGTGCCCCCAGGGGGCTGGCCATCCTGCAACCCCTTTTCCTCTCTGCATTTTTGGCATAGACACACAAATGCCTAGCATGCATTTCAAGCTGCTGGGTCCAGGATTTGTACTGTGGAGTTGGCCATATGGGATCCAAGCACCTCAACCAGGCCAAAGACTAGCCCTGTTTTGACTACTTTTTTTTTTTTTTTAAAGGTTTTTGCCATATTGGAGACAGACAGAGGGAAAGCGAGAAGTCACCCACCAGAGGGGATGGCCATAGTGCAATCCCTTCTCCATTTCTAGAGACGGGGCCCAGTCTCGTCTACTTTTGAAGGCTCAAAGCACTCTGTAGTGTGTTAGCGGCAAGGAACCTCAGCGTGCTATGCAAGGGCACCGTTACTTTTCTTATTCCTGTCCTTAATCTTCCCACTGTCAAGGCTCTTTCCAGCAAGAACTCTCTCCTTGGGCCACTGGCAGGCTTCTCTGTTCCTTTCCCCCCTCCAACACTGCCCCCACCCACCCACTCACCCCACCACAAGCCCCAGGTCTGGGCTCTGCCTTCCTCCACCCACCACTTCCCCAGGGGTCTTTGCCAGACATCCCCTCTCCTGGCAAAGGCTCTAGTGTGCAGATTTCAGACTTCAGGTCTCGCCTCCAGGCACTGCCCAGGCTGGTGGGAGTGGGGCCTAAGGAAGGAAAAGAAGGCAGAAGGCCAGAGCCTGAGTTAGGGAAGGGCTGGAAGTGGCCAAGCAGGGAGGAGGCTGAGGGGGGAGGAAGGAGCCCAGATTCAGAGGGGAAGGTGCATTCGGACTACCTGTACTACCACTGACCTCTCCCTGGCTGGCTTCAGGACCTTATTCCTTACGGCTGTGCCCCAGAGCAAAGGTGAGGGCTCTGAGGAACCAGGGAGAACAATGACCTGCGTTTTGTGGATGCTTCAAGAAGGACACCAAACTGCCTGTGATAACAGATAACTGGCACTGGGCCAGCCCTTGGCCTGGTGGCTAAGGGAGCCAGATCCCAGATGGCCACCCGCACTCTGAAACGCATGCCCGGCACTCGTGCTTGCGTGTTCGAGATCCCGACAGGGTGAAGAAATAAAGGGATTGCGGCATGATGGGACGCTTCCTCCCTTTCCCTCTGTCTCCCGCTGGTGAGCACATGTGTCCTCTGGCAAAACCAAACCAAACAAAAACTAGTACCATAGAGTATTAGGGTGCCATAAAAAAAATTGGGAAGGTCCTCACGTGGAGTCCTGAATCCTGTACGAGATATATTGTGGAAAAAGCCGAGTCCAGAATGGTGTGAGTACAGCAACCCACTAGGGAGAGTAAGTACATCCCGAATCCAGCCGGTTCCCACCACTGCTGTTGATCTAAGTCTGGTCATTGCCTCCCAATAGGTCACTCATATTTTACCTTTGCTCCTCAAAATCTATTCTCAACACAGTGGTCAATGTGAGCCTTTTAAATAAAAAGTAAATTCATGCCTTTTTTTTTTTTAGAGGTTTTTGCTATAGGGCGCGTGCACTCACCAGACAGACAGAGAGAGACAGAGAGACAGAAAGCGAGAAATCACCCCCCAGGGGGCATGGTCACGCCGCAATCCCTTCTCCTCCATTCTCCTCTCGGGATCATGGGCACGCACACACACGCGCCCGCGTGAGTTTAAGCCACCGGGTCTGGGACACAAACCGCGGTCGAGTACGTGGGAGTCCAGTGACATAGCCATTACGCTAACTGCTGGTCCCAAAAGTAAATTCATGCTTGATACCTGTGATAGTTCATCTCACTCAGCCATACAAACTCGAGTTCCTTCTGAGGTTCTCCTCAATCTGCCGCCACTCTCATTCTCTGTTAGAGTTATTCTTTTTTCCATAGTACCTAATACTGAATAATATCCATGCATATATATTTTAGTTTGCTATAAGGTTTGAGCACTTGCTGGAGAGAGAGAAAAAAAATCATCCCTTAGGGGGAATGGCCACGCTGCAATCCCTGCTCTTCCATTCACCTCTAAGGGTTTGGGGAACACACACACACACATACAGCCAGTTTAATCTTCAAGCCACTGGGTCTGGGACTTGAACCCTGAAGTCAGCTATGTGTGATCCAGTCTCCTTAACCTCAATGCCACCTGCTGGCCCTTATCTATATGCTTTAATTTTTTTAAATTTATTTTTTAAAAAATCATTTAATTCTATTTATTACCATCATTATTTATTATTATTCCCAATCTGGCCAGAGAGAGGCAGAGAAAGATAGGGACAGTGAGGAAGTAAGCCACCAGACCCAGGACTCGAACCATAGTCAGCCACGGGGGAGTTCAGTGCCTTGGGACCAGCAGATGGCATAATGGTTACGTCATTGGACTCCCACATGTTCTACCGCAGTTCACGAGTCCTGGACCCGGTGGCTTCAAACTCATGCTGGGCGCGTGTGCATGCATGCCAAAAATCCCAAGAGGAGAATGGAGAAGAGATTGCAATGTAGCCAACCCCCTGGGAGGTGATTTCTCACTTTCTGTCTTTCTATCTCTCTATCTCTCTGGTGAGTACATGCGCCCTGTAACAAAAATTTCTCTTAAAACAAAAAAGTAATGGAGTTCAGTGCCTCAACTACCATGCTACCTGGCAGGTCCTTATTTTTAATTTTAACTAATTTAATTAATTTAGATTTCTGCCATAGGACATGTGTGTTTGCCAGAGAGGGACATAGAGAGATAGGGAGAGAAGTGAGAAATCGCCCCCCTGGGGCATGGCCACGTCACAATCCCTTCTCCTCCATTCTCCTCTGGGGGTTTTAGGCACGCATGTACATGCGTCCAGCATGATTTTCAAGCCCCCAGGTCTGGGATTCCAACAGCACAGGTAGCCATGGAAGCTCCAGTACCTTAACCTCCATATCACTTCTCTATGCTTTCAAAAGAATGTTTAGATTATCTTCTGTCTCCACCTACTGGAACATAAGCTTCACAAGTACAGGGATTGCTTTTATTCACTGCTGTAGCCAAAGCACCAGACTAGCAGGAGTGATATTCGGTACTATTTGTTGAATGAATGAATGAAATGGCAGTCTATGCAAAGACTCTCTCTGAAATGCTCTCCAAGAAATTGGTAAGCATAGTTATTATGGTTAGAGATGCCAGAAGAGAGCTGGGGTCTTAGGGGTTAGTTGTGGGAGACTTAACCTTTACTATAAGTTTTTAAAGGTTTTTATAGGACATGTGATTTTATTTAAAAAAAAATTATTTATTTAATTCCATTTGTTATTATTATTTTTAAATTCGACAAGAGGCAGAGAGAGAAAGAGAGAAAGGGAAAGTGTGAAAGCAAGCCTCCAGGTCTGGGACTCAAACTGCAGTCAACCATGTGGGAATCCAGCGCCCTACCCACCATACCATCTGCTGGCCCCAGGGCATGTGACTTTTTTTTTTTTCTTTTTGGGAGAGGTTTTTGCTACAGAGCGTGTGAGCTCACTAGAAAGACAGAAACACTGAGACAGAAAGCGAGAAATCACCCCCCAGGGGGTATGGCCACACCGCAATCCCTTCTCCTCCATTCTCCTCTTGGGATCTTGGGTGCGCACACACACACACGCGCCTGGTGTGAGTTTAAGCCACTGGGTCCAGGACTCAAATCACGGTCAACTACATGGGAGTCCAGTGACATAGCCATTATGCCAACTGCTGATCCCATGGGCATGTGATTTTCAAGCTGCCAGATCTGGGATTTGAACCTCAGCTGATAATGTGGGAGTCTGGCACCTTAACCATTATGCCATTTGCTGGCTCCTTTAATATAATATTTTTTTTGAGAGTTTTTTTTTTTTTTTAATTGGGCATGTGTGCTCACCAGAGATGGAGAGATGGGGGTGGGGTGATAGCCATACCATAATCCCGTTTCCTCCTTTCTCCTTTTGGAATTTTGGGCATGCACGCACACATCCCCGGTGTGTTTCAAGCTGCCAGGTCTGGGATTTGAAACTCATTTGGCCATGCGGGAGTCTAGCACCCTAACTATTATGCCACCTGCTGACCCCTTCACTATAATTCTTCATCCCAGGCATCTATTACCTTTACAAAAAGAAAAAAAGCCCAGAGAACAAGGAGTTAACTAAGAAGGCTGAGGAAGAGTGGGTCCCAGAGGGAGAGAGAGAGAGAGAGAGCTGTCTGCCATCCCTGGCCAGAACAATAAAGGGCCCAGCAGAGGTCAGGGAGTGCTGGATGGGGATCCCAGGGAAGCTCTGACCCTGGCTGGCTCTGAGGAGGAGGAGAGGGAGGAGGAAGAGGAGGAGGAGGAGGGGGAGGGAGGAGGAGGAAGAGGGGAGGAGGGGAGGAGGGGGGAGAAGGAGGAGAAGAGGTGGTGGTCATGGGGGGCTGTGCAGGAGCGTGTTGGTAGGCATGCACCTACCTACTGCTGTGAGTACTCAGGGAAGACCTGTGGGTGCACACTCCGGCTGTGTGCCCCAGACCTGTGTGGCACACGGGTGCCTTTCTCTTGCAGCTGTGCCCATGGGCAAGGAGCTCCCCGCTTCCTCATGAGTTAGGAACTAGCATCAGCTCATGCCTTCCCCAGAATCCTCAGCGGCAGGGAACTGTCTAGATCAGGTCTATTTGGGAAAGGGCTGGGTCCTCTGGGTTCTCATGCTAACACCCTGGGCCTCCCAGAAGACCCCACCCAAGGTGGCCCCTCCCTACCCGCAGGTTGGGAGGAAGCTGGACTTTCTGCCCTCCGTCTCCCCACCCAGCACCGGTGACTCAGGAAACCTGGCTCTTGACCTCAGTTTCATCCAGGATAAGCCTCTTCCCTACCTGATCTGCATCCTGGCTTTAAGACGCTTGCTGGCTTTTTCTAAATTCCCCTTTAGACATTGAGAACTTTTCGCCTCAGGGCCTATTTATTTGGATAGTTCAGTAATTCTCAGAGATCTCAGGGGGCGGCCCATTCCTGGTACTAAGAGGGCATGGGAAGATCAACCCTCTGGGCTGGTGGCTCACTGTGCCGAGCTTGGAGCGCCAGGTCCTGCTGCAGCGGTAGTGAGCTCCTAGCCACAGGCCCAGCTCCTGTCCAGCCGAGGTCCGCCTCGGAGCTAGGCCCAGAGTTGGGGCAGGTCTGCCAGATGGCACGGCTCAGAGCAGGATCCACACTTGATTCTTCACTCGTGGTTTCATGGCCCATCCTGGGTAAAGCACAGCTGGCCCGAGGGTCTAGAAGGGGGAAGGCTGGGGGATAAAGGAGAGAAGGGGGGCTGAGAGGCAGGCCTTGCCACAGGAGCTGCAGCCATGCCTCCTGGCTGTTTGCCCGACCCTGCCCACCTGAGCGATGCCAGCTACGGTGCCAGGGGGAAGAGGGACAGTTCCCTGCCATTAATCCAGCAGTTTCTTGATACACCAGCAGCAGAGGAGGATGTAGGCGACTTCCTTCAGGGTCTGCTGCAGGCCCTCCCACCCTGTGCCCATCTTAATGACAGGCACCCGGAGCCCAGCATCTCGCAGGGCCCCCCTGAGGGAGAAGGGCAGAGTCTGGGCTAGGGGGTGCGTCCGGGGCTGCATGTGGGCAGTAGTTCTGAGGAAGGGTGTGGGAGCTGCCCTCCATGCCTTTTATCAACAATGTCCCCACCCCCTCAGGCCTCATGACCACAGAGACAAAGGCCCCAGGTCTAGCAAAGGGAAGGTTCTGGGCCTGGAACGGGCTGAGTCAGCCCCTATGGACAGGGATGGGGTGGGGTGGGGCTCGCCGTAGGGAGGGCCTGGCCCCTGCATCCTTCACCCTCCATAGCTGGGCCAGCTCAGCGTCCCTTCTTCCAGCTCTGCCTGGTTGCCCACTTTCCAGTGGTTGGCACAACTCCTGCCCCCGCCCCCTGGTGGCGCCTGTGAGACTGACATTGAGAATTGCCCGTGAGCTTTCCAGCCTGTTCTGCCCTGCCCTGGGCCTCTTGGGTGACCACAGCCAGCTTGGAGCTGCAGTGTCCGGCCCACTGTCCTTCTCCAGCCCTGGAGCAGGAAGACACAGTGGGAGCCATAGGCACAGTGAGAGGCACGGTTTATTGACAGGTCACACCCCAGGGCAGCCTCCCTGCCTCCCTCCTGGGTGAGCGGTCATGTGCGGGAGTTCCGCTCCTCGTCTTCATTCTCCAGGAGGTAGGCTGGACGGTAGGTGGGCTGTCCTCCCGGGCTCAGGCACTTCAGAGCGGGGTTCCGCACTGTGTTCTGTTGACTCCCCAGTGACGTGTACCTGTAAGGATGGTGGGTGAGGGTGGCGAGGTAGGTCTCCTGGTGGCCCACACCCCTCCCCGTCCCCTAATACTTACCCCCGGTCATACAGGACACAGTACGGGACAAACAGCTGACGCAGAAAGTCCCAGATGTTTCTGTAGGTCCAGTCCTGGGAGGTCGAAGAACAGTCACTCCTCCCATCTCCCACACCTGCTCCCTGCCACAGTGGGAAGAGGCCCATCCAAAGCTCCTCCGCTCTCAGCCTCTGAGGTGAGCTTGCTGTCAGGGTCTCTGGTATACCTTACTCTGTGTGGGCTAAGTAATGAGAAAGACCTTCACATGCTTCCACCCCCCACTGGGGTCTAAGCTCCGGGAAGACAGAGTCTAGGCCAGTGCTGTCGAGCAAAACTTTGTGTGATGGTGAAAAAAAATTTTTTTTTAAGAGAGAGTTTTGAGCCAGCGGGTGGCGTAGTGGTTAAGGCACTGGACACTCCCATGTGACCAACCACGGTTCGAGTCCTGGACCTGGTGGCTTGCCTTTTCACTTTCTTTCTCTGTGTGTCTGGTCAAATTCAAATAAATGAATAAATAAATAAAAAATTCTTTAAAGGAAAAAAAAAAGGAGTTGTTTTTTCTTTTTGCTATAGGGCACATGCATTCAACAGGAGAGACAGAGATGGAAGTGAGAAATCACCCCCAGGAGGGATGGCCATGTCACAATCCCTTATCCTTCATTCTCCTCTTGGATTTTTGGCACACATCTGCACATGCCGGGCATGAGTTTTAAGCCGCTGGGTCTGGGACTCAAACTGCAGTTGACCACGTGGGAATCCAGTGATGTAAGAAATGTTCTATACCTCTGCTGTGCAGTATAGTGGTCACTTGAAATGTGGCTAGTACAACTGAAAAATAGATTTTTATTATATTTAATTAAAAAAAACTAAGATATAGGGGCCAGCAGGTAGCATAATGATTAAGGTGCTGGATTTCCACACAGCCGACTGTAGTTTGAGTCCCGGACCTGGTGGATTGAAAATCACACCAGAGCGACCAGCAGTTGGTGTAATGGCTATGTCACTGGACTCCCATGTAGTCAACCGCAGTTCAAGCCTTGGGCCCGGTGGCTTAAAACTCACACCAGGTGCATATGTGTGCATGCCCAAGATCCTGAGAAGAGAATGGAGGAGAAGGAATTGCAGTGTGGCCATCCCCCCCGGGGGGTGATTTCTCGCTTTTTGTCTCTCTGTCTCTGTCTTTCTGGCGAGCACACGCGCCCTGTAGCAAGAACCTCTCAAAAAAAAAGAAAAAAAAAAATCATGACACATTTTTCTGTGGAAAAACCCAATACATGAAATTTACCCCGAATCCCTGGAGGAGACTGAAGAGAATAGATTGTGTGGCCATCCCCCTGGGGGTTGATATCTCACTTTCCTTCTGTCTGTTTCTAGTGAGCGCACAAAACAAAAGAAAACTAAGATACAGGGGCTGGATGGTGTAGCAGGAAGACAGTGCTCTGTGGCGCTGCCCGTGTGGGAAGGCCCCTGTTCATACCCAAAACTCCCCTTAGTACAGAAGTACACGTGCACTCTCATGGGGGCCGGCTCAGACTGGCGATGGACTGTGCATCAAGACCTTGTTGGGGATGCTGTCTTTTTTCTTTTTTAAAAATTTATTTATTGGGACCAGCAGTTACAGTAATGGCTGTGTTGCTGAACTCCCATGTAGTCGACCACAGTTTGAGTCCTGGACCCGGTGGCTTATACTCACGCCAGGCGTGTGTGTGAGTGTCCAAGATGGAGGAGAAGGGATTGCAGCATGGCCATCTCCCCTGGGGGGTGATTTCTCGCTTTCTGTCTCTCTGCCTCTGTCTTTCTGGTGCTCGAACATACACGCCCTTATAGCAAAAACCTCTAAAAAAAAATTCAGTGGTTTTTAGTAATTTGTTATTTCTTTTTTTAAAATTTATTTTGTTTAATCATTCATTTATTTTAATTTGATCAGAGGGAGAAAGAGAGAGAGGGAGAGAGAGAGAGAGAAGGAAAGTGAGAAAGCAAGCTACCAGGTCCAGGACTCGAACTGTGGTCAGCCATGTGGGAGTGTCCAGCACCTTAACCACTATACCACCTGCTGGTCCCCATGTAATTTGTATTTCTTTTTCTTTCTTTCTTTCCTTTTTTTTTTTTTTTTTTTAAAGAGGTTTTTGCTTTTGGGCACATGTGCTTGCTGAGGGGAAAGAGAGAGACAGAGATAATGACTGGGAAAGTGAGAAATTACCTCCCAAGGAGTGTGGCCATGCCTTAATCTCACCTCCAGTCTCCTCCCAGAATCTTGGACATGCACACATAAGTGCCCGGTGTGATTTTTCAAGCCACTGGGTCAGGGATTCGAACTGTAGTAGACCATGTGGGAGTCCAGCAACATAACCACTATGCCATCTGCTGGCCCCTGTATTTCATTTGAATTAATTAGAATATGAGTATGACTAGATGGCTAGTGGCTCTCATCTTGGACAGACAGGTCTAAGTTCCTGTTCTATTCACAAGAGAAAGTCCGATGTTTGCCACTGAATTAATGGTGGATAAATATTGGTCAGAATGGTGAATGAACGAATAGCACTGCTGCCCTTGTATGATGGGGTGCCTAGATCCATGCCCCAGGTCCTAGCATCCACCCTCCACCCAGCCCCTTGGCAAGCCAGGGTACAGCGGCAGACATGGCACAGGAGACCAAAGGCAATACAGCCTGGTTGGGGTGGCTGGATCCCACATGGTCAACAGCATGGTTTGAATCCCAGACCACCTGGGGACCTGAGAAACATGCCGTGTGTGTGTGTGTGTGTGTGTGTGTGTGTGTGTGAATAAAATCACAGGAGGGAGAGGTAGAGGGATTGCAGTGGGAGTGCCTTCTCTTCTCCCTGTGTCTCTGGTGAGCACATACCAACAATCCCATCCCCATTACCAGCAGTGGGTTGACGCGCATGAATGAAGGCCAGCCCGGGTCGGTGGGACTGAAAGGGCAGAGGCTACAGGAGTAGGGGTCGGTCCGGCGGGTACCCATCAGGACGGCCTCCAGCTGGGGGTATTGTGTCTGCAGCTCACTCAGGGCCTGCTTCATGTCACCCTCAGCCTCCAACACCTGCAGGTTGTACCTTAGGAAGAAACAGAGGTGGGGGTCAGGGGTGGGCTTTGCCCAGGCTCCCTGGGAGCCCAAACCTCCAGGCCCTAGTACCTCTTGATGGTGTCCTGCAGAAACTGTTCCAGCTCAGGGAAAGGAGAGACGCTGCGGATATACAGGATCTGGAGGGGTTTTGGAACATCAGGGAATTTCCTGGGAAGGGGGAAGAATCCAAAGGCTGGCCAGTATTGGCAAGAAAATGGCTCCCCAGAGAGTCCACTTATTTTCTTTGGCCTCTGGTATGGACATCCTCCCTTCTCCCCTCTCCTTATCCTTCCCATCCACCAGACCCTGCCTTCTCTGGGAAGCCCACTCTGATTTCTCGCCCCTCAAATCTGAGCACGCATCTCTGTTGGGAGCACAGTGGGCTCTCCGTGGATGTGGAACCCATGGAAACAGAGGGCCGACTGTAAAGCACTTGAGCATCTGCGGATTCTGGTAGCCAGCAGGCTTGAAAACCTCACTTGCCAACATGCCCATGACCACCCTGTGGGCAAGGCTGGTGGCCTGCACATCCACACCCAGGACCAGGCATGTGGCGGGTGCTGAATAAATATGGTGGGGGAACGGAACTGAGGCCACCACGGCTCCCCCCCTCCCCTCGCACACCCGTTTTCTCCCTGTTTTTTGAGACAGGGATGTAGAGGCTGGAATAGGTCAGGTATCTCGGGGGACTTGTCCCATGAGGGGAAGGCTCACCTCTGCACAGCTGCATGGAAGAGGTGCAGGAGGGCGGTGCAGTCCTTGCCCCCGTTGAAGCCCACACAGAGCTGGGTGAGGCTGTACCGAGCCAGGGCAGTTTCAATGGTCTCTAGGGCACCTGCCACCTTTTTCCCCAGAGAAGACCCTGCCACGCAGGCAGGGGAGAAGGCATCAGATATTCAGGGCCATCAAAGGGCAGGGGGCGCCATGTTGCCTTTGCTTGAAACCCTTCCATATCTTCCCAGGGCACCTACGTGGTGCCCAAACTCCTTCCCAGTGTGCACCAGGCCCTGCAGTCTACCCCTGCAGGCCGTTCAGCCTTGGTGCACCTCACCTTGACCTCACGGTCTGCTCTTGCTGGTGGGGAAGGGCAGAGCTGGGGCGTTCTGGTTTCCCTACATTCCCCTAAGCCCCAGGCTGCTTCCTCCCTGGCCTTCTTTTGTATGGTGACTCCCGCCCACCTCCTAGTCTGACCAAATCCCCCTTATTACTCAGATTATACGTCCCTTGGCCAGAGAAGCTCCTCTGACCTCAGACCAAGGCTGCTCTCCCTCCGTCACGCACATCCCGTGCACAACCGCCACCTGTTTGACTCCACCTTCCCTGGTAAAATGCTGGTCACAAGAGCAGGGCACACGTAAGTCCCGTGCACGCTACAGCCTCCACGCTAGTCCCGTGCTGGTGAAAGTAGGGGCTCAACCAGCGTGCACTGGAAGGACAAGGGAATTGGCAGGAGCGCTCTTCTCCCGTCTTGGATTTGTGGGAAGGAAGCCCCCAACAGACCCCGCCATGCTGAGACCTAGGCGGGCACCATGGGCCTGTGCATGCTGCCTCTCTGCTGTGGCCCTACCTGATTCAGCAAGTCTGTACACAGCCTCGCTGGCCTGCCCCACGGCGTTGGGCACATAGGGGATCAGCGAGCCCTGGGGCAGACGGGCGGTCAGGTAGGCCAGGCATTCCTCCAGGGGCTCCTCTTCCTCCGAGTCTAGAGTCAGCTTCACCTTATAGTAGTTGCTGCCCCAGTCGGGGTAGGAACCTAGGCCAAGCCTACGCCCAAAGTGGGCCTGGGCCTCGGCCAGGATGGGGGCAATGGCGGCCTCGTCAGCAGCGACATACAGCTCCCTGGAGTGGAACTGAACAGCTGTGTTTTGGAAGAGTCCTTTCAGCCCCTCCAGCACCCTCCGCAGCAGCTCCGGGATGCCTGGGAAGAGGTAGACATTTCTGACGGAGACCAGCGGGAATCTGAAGGGGCGGCCAGTGCGAGGATCGGTGCCGTAATGCAGGCGGGCAGAGGAGGGCACCAGCGACAGCTTCTCCCAGCCCTCCCCTCCCAGGGCTTTGATGGCTGCTTCCAGCTCAGGGTGCGGCTTGAGCTCATCCCCAAAGGCCTGTGCCACAGCCTCAAAAGTCACATCGTCGTGAGTGGGGCCGATGCCCCCTGCCGTGAGGACGTGGGTGAAGCGGTGGGAGAAAGAGGCGACCTCAGCTGCAATGGTGGCAACCTCATCCGGCACGACAGAGACACGGCAGACCTGGACGCCCAGGGAGCGCAGAGTCCGGCACAGGAAGTAGGTGTTGGTGTCCTGAGTGTGTCCCTGGGGGTTGAGGAGGAGGACGAGACTGTCACTGCTGTGGGGACAAAGGGCAGAAGGCCAGGAGATGACAGCGGCATCCGCTCTGCTCTTTGGGGAACACCACCTTGGGGTGCCAAGGAGCCTTGAGTGGGAAAACACATCTGAAGGGATGAGTCAGGGGCTACGGGATCCACTGTGGGCCTCCACCCACACTTTGTCCCTGACTTCCCCTGTCTATGAATCCAATTTTCAGCTTTCTGGGGACAACCAGTCCACGGCCTCACCAGCTCTGGCTCCAAGCTTTTGGGCAGCCTCACCATGTCCCTGGCTGTTGCTGCTTTAGTCAATGGCTTCCTGAGACACTCTCCACAGCCAGCCCTTCATCTGTCAGCTCTACATCTGGAATGCCTCCCCATCTGCTCCCTTCTCTGTCCCCACTGCCACTGAGCAGGTCCTTGGCACCTTCCACCCAGACGATGGCGACAGCCTCCTGGCCATGCTCCCAGCGCTCTGCTCTGTGTCTCCCAAGTAACCTTCCTAATGCGACACTGTGATTGCATCATTTTTGGGCTCAAGAGTCATTTGTTGTTTCCAGCTGCATACAGAATAAAGTTCAAATTACTTTAGCCTGTAGAGTCTGTTTGTGCTGTGTCTTCAATCTTCTCTTCCAGCCTCATCTCCTATCTCTACAGAGGGTAGTGTGGTGAATTCTTTGTGTTGTGGAGTAAGGAAGAATCAGGCTGGAATTCCACCTCTGCTACTCCCTAGACATGTAGACTTGAGCAAATTTCTCAACTTCTCTGAGCCCCCTGTTCAGAATCTATTAATCAGAATTTATAATAAGAGCACCAACTTCATGGGGTTTTGGGAGAATTAGCAAAATCACTCATGTGGCATAATAAGCACACTGCTAGGCTCCAGTAAGCACCCCCAAAATAGGAATCAGTATTACTATTTTAAACCTGAGGCCTGCCATCTCCTCTAGGAAGACTTCCCTGATCACTCAGCTCCCTTCTAGCAGCTTCCTACTAGCTCACTTATCCACGCTGCTGAGTGTCTTGAATCATTCCCACATGGGCAGGATACAACTCTTAAATATGTAACACATGCATGTCTGGACTCACCTGGCTTCCTGTCACTGCTGTGTAGCTCTTCCGCACCCCCCACCCCGACTCCCATCACACTTCTGAGGACTTCCTTATAGGTTTTTCAACAAAGTAACTGAGAGAATGAGGGTTAATTTTCCTTCAATTTGTTGAACTCACTCCAAGACCTTACTCCAGCAAAGGGGCTCCCACCCTGGTCCGCCTCTCTCACCAGGATATGGAGCACGCCCTACAAGACAGGAGACCCCCAGCCCTCCCACCTCTCTGTCCCACACAGACCTTGAGGATCTCATCTCCGACAATGATGATGCCCGCAGTGACGCTGCGCCCTGGGGGAGGTTCGGACGCCCTAGATGCCATGGTCTTGCCTTCTCTGCCCCTCTGCAAGGCCCTCCAGTAACCACCCAGACCCCCAGACAGGGGTCGCAAGCACAGGGGTCTCGCCAGGTCTACAGGACACTGGGGGCCATGGCCTGGGAACAGAGGATCCGGGGTCGAGTGAACCTGGAGGAGCCAGAAAAGATAATGAGAGAAGGACAGGAGTCCATGTTCCTCCTTAGAGAAAGATCCTGTTTTCTCTAACCAGATTTTTGACAAGCGACTCCTTTATTCCTGCTTCTTTAACAAACGTGCTTAAACCCCGATCCATGCTCCTTAAGTGTCTTCTAAGCTTGACTATAGTCTCCTTAACATGTCCTGCTTTCCCGAGAACCTACCACTTTAAATGTCTTCTGTCTGCCGAGCCGATCTCAAGTGTCTGCTCTAAGTTGGGCATCTGCACCTTTAAATGGCTCTTCTCTTGGGGCATCTGCCCCTTTAAATGTCTACCTTATCCTGGGCCTTAACCCCTTATCCTTCTTCTCCCCCGACAGAACCCAGTCGCTTTCTCCTGCACCCTTTCTAGTCCGGAATCCCCCTTCTTCCCACCAAGCTTCTGACTCCTGAGCTCTTCCTGGCTCTCACCTGCCTATTTTGCCCCTTAACCGGGTCTTTCTTTCTTTCCTTCCCTCATGTCCCGGGGGAAGCTTCCGTACTCTAAGTCCCGCCTTATCCACACCTACCCCATATTGATTGGTCACTTTTACTGTCTCTTAAACTCCCCCCAGCGTCCCATTGGTGTTATCGACTGACGCTCTCGGGCTTTGGCTAGCGGGCGGGAGCAGTACTGGGTTGTCATTGGCGACAACCATGTGGTCACCCCTCCTCCGGAAATGTGGAGGCCGGGCCTCGGTGCCCCGAGGAGGCGGGACCTAGGGGGTTTCGGGCGGGGAGCGACCTGGGGTTGGAGGGCTCTCTGGAATATTGGGGGTTCGTTTCTGGAGATAAAGGGAGCGTGACTCTAGTCTTCCGTTCTGTTCTCAGCTCTTGCATGCGTATGCTCGTGTTTTCATTGACTGATTGTGGACCGAGGTGTCAAGGGCTAGTACTGGCATTAGAGGTGATTTTTTTTATTTCCTAGAAGTTGGAGAGACCCAAGAAGGACTTTTGGTGTTGTCTGTGGGCTGGGACGATGTTTGGAATAGGTGAGCTTTTAGTGTGTGGAACCTTCATTTGTCTGTGGTAAAAAGGATAAAGCTAATGAATTAAACCTCTTTGACAGGAAGAAAACCCAAAACCATCTCTTGCTCCACCTTGCTCCAGATCGTGCTTCCTTTATTACTGCACCGATATTAGTCTACTAGGGACAAATGAAGCAGTGAGTAGGGTGTGCTGCGTGTATCCGTTTGGATTTTCACATCATCCCAGCTTATGCTCATTTCAGTTGCTTTTGGCCTAAAAGCTTTTTTTTTTTTTTTAAAGAATCATTGTATTTATCTTTATTTACTTATTTTAATTTGACCAGAGAGAAACAGAACAGAGTGAGAGAGCGAGAGAGAGTGGGAGGGTAAGAGAGTGAGCCACAAGGACCAGGACTCTTCTTGGCGGGTTGCTC